AATATATACAACAAAATTCAAAGCCTTGTTTTGTCATTAATTTAGTAAGACTGTAAATATTTTATGATATGACAACCTGCAAATACAGTATTATGACTTTTATTCTCTAGTTGTTAAGGAAAGAAATGAACATATAGTTCCATACTTTCTATAGTATGCAAAATTATGAATATGAAAGAAGAGTTTTCTGAGGATAATAATGAATAGTTATGTATTGTCAAATCATTTTTGACTTACAGTGACCCTCATAATGTTTGGTTTCCTGTGTATGCTCAGATGTTTTCGGGAATGCTAGCCGCAATTGAAAAAAGAAAAGAAAGAAATTTGGCTAAAACAGTTTTCCTTTATGCTGCTGGTTAATTTTCAGTGAAACAGTGCATTGTTAGAAATGGGAAAAAATTCTCCACATTGATACTCACATCTACCTAAAAAAGTATTGTGGGTAAAGTAGAAAGAACCTATTTCTAGATAAAATAGTCACTTATTCCAGACCCGTCATACTCAACTAATGTCATTGGAGTTGTAGACAAACTGATTAGGAGGACAACAGGTAAGAGATTATTGTCCCCAAAAGCTCTTTCAGTACCAGATGGAGTTGTAGAATATATGAACAAAAGTGTTTCTGGGTATTTAAAGTATAGTACATTTCTCTTGCTATTGAACATTAGCTTATCTATGGTGTCCCAAATAGCGAAGATGTATGTATATGGCATGGCTATTTTGACATGTTTTTTCTTGGGCAAGAAATGGTGGGACAGATAAAGCAGTGATACCATGTAGAGCTTTTTCCCCCCAGGTGTCAGTGTATTATGCAATGGAATAGCTCCTCTTGCAGCTCTACTCCTAAATGCAGTTCTTTGGGAGTTAATATTTTCAGTTTCATTCCTTAAGGAGCTACATCTGTGTTTTCAGTGCTGTGTAGTGTCTCATTTCAGACGATTTATAACAGCATAATACAATGAGCAGTTCACAAAATTTAACAAGATCAAATAAAATTAGAACAACTTAAACCATCAGTACTTAACTGATTAAAACATTGGTATGTACTGAATGAATAAAAGATCAAAACCAGTGGTTCTCAAAAAAACAAAACACCAAAGCTTTGGAAACTTTTAAAAGACTTTACAAAAACCATTACAGCAAGTTCTCACAGTCTGGGATTTCTAAGCGTAGTTGTTTTCTCCGTAGCATTCTGCTGTGTTGTATTTATTATGTAGCAGGGTTTTGAAGCGTGTCCGAGCAATTTCGGCACAATCTCAGAGTGTTGGATGACATGAAGAACAAAAGGGGAATGGTCGAATCCGTATCTTAATTCTGTATTTTGGAATAATAATCTCCAGAGAGATAGCTCTGCTATAGCAAGCATGGAAGTGTTGCGTTATCCGAAAGGCTTATTTGGGGTGATTTGCTAGACTTAGCTTTTAGACATTTGAGCTTTGCAGAGTCATGTGGCTCTTGTGCTTGGTGACCTTTTAGACTCACTGTGTAGAAGGGTTTTTGAAAGATAGTTCAGTGGTTTAAGTATCTGGGAGTTCAATTCCCCACTGTGCCTCCTTGACAGAGTCTGGACTCGATGATCCATAGAGTCTATTCCAGCTCTGCATTTCGAAGATGATCATGATCCATATGTCTACTAGCTGAAGATAATGCTACAGTAGAACACCTCCTTTGTATATAAACCATGTCAGCTTCAGTCCTTTTCATTTCCAGGTAGGGATAAGAAAAACTGATGCGCCAAACCTTAAACACTTGGACAAGTGAATTTTAACACTCCTACCCTGTAGATTTTAACTCTCCTATTTAAACTTTTTTTCTGCTATAGAAATTATATTTCCTCCATTAGCACCAGTATTGTTAAAGCCAGGCTGATTTTATGAGAAGGCTCTGCTGAAAAGGACCACTGTAACTGGGTAAATCTTTAAGGGAAAATTAGTAGGCCACATCAGCACTCTTTTCTGAAGAGTACAGAAAACTGTTGTTAGCCTGTTGAATAACTCAACCCTGATCAAAACAGTCTTAGGTATGTGAGCAAATACAGGTGTTCTTGATATCTGTAGCCTCCTTGTGAACCACCAAGAATGGAGGCTGTGGGTTACCGGTGTTAAGTTTGAGAATGTCCGTTCTACAAAACGCTGAGTTAAATATCCAGTAGACTTACGAAAGGGTGTATTTAAACATCCCTCTACTTGACCAGATGGGCTCCAGTCCATGTGAATTGACATTGTAGTACGTATATCTGAATGTAGATCTTTGGTGGGCCATGGGGATGATTTTGGTGTTTGCCTTTTTAAAATTTCCATGCTTTAGAATATCCAACATTGCCTATGCTAATTTGCATTGGCTCTAGCAAATTTCAGTCCGAGAGAAATCTGCTTTTTTTCACCTTCAAGTTGCTTATTGTAAGATTAATAGGGCTTGAGAATGCTGACAAGTCTGTTTTAATGCCTAAAATAATCTGGGCAGGCCATCTTTCATCAGCTTGATTGTGTAGGACTTTCATTCACATTATTATTGCTAAGGGCAAATGAATGTTTTACTTATGTCTTCAGAGAGCAATTACTATTCAGAAAGGACTTTGAAGCAGGCTAGCTTTTCAAAATATTAATCTTATTAATGGTGAGCAGCACTAGGACACTTTTGTAGGGTCACTGGGCATTTTCAGCAAGCCGTTCGCAGGGCTGCCTAATAGTCCATTGATCTCTTGGTTTTATAGCTTCTCTCTACAACATGGATAATCAAGGTTACCTGGAGGAAATAATTTGATGTTGTTAAAATCTTGTGTCTCAGCTAATCATCCTTCGCTGCAAGGTTTGCTATTGCAGGTATAATTAAAAATTGATTTCCATCTTACTTACTCATTAATCTGCGTATACTTTGATTTTGTTTTATTAGGACTATATAGTGGTAGGTACTCAGGGGTCTGCAAATGTTGGCTAGGTTTAATAGTGAGAGATGATTTGTGGTCCTCCCCTCCTCTCCCCCTTCTCTCATGCAGGCTGGGTCAGGGAGAGAAGCAGATTGTTCCCTTACTGGTCAGAAGATGAAGAATGTAAGACACCGGGGAAGTCTCTCCTGCTGCTCTGAAAAAAAAAATGCTGCTTTTCTTTCTGGCTTCAAAAATACAATGGAAGAGAGGCCTGCGGAGATGGGGATCTTTGTGATCTCTCTCCCCTGCTCACTGGAGAGTGAGGAAATAGAAAATAGCGCTTTCTGTGTCTGGAAAGCTTGAGTGTGTAAATGTGGCTACTTGTAACTACAGTATATAATTCGTAATTCATCCTTCAGCTCATTTCCAGCATAGAGCAATAGCGATAGAAATGTCAGTGTATGTGTGATGATCAAAGAATGCTTTAACCATTGCCGTCTCACATTCGTTCCCATGCCAAGTGACATTTGAATCCAGGTCTTCTGACAGTCTGCCCACTACACTACACTGGCTATCTGTAGCTGCATCTTGAATGATAATTTGACTATAATAGTGCCCTTCCTGTTACAGATTTGTTTTCCCGCCCTCTTCAGTATTTATTTGTAAACAATTTTAAATTGCTGGCATGAGGCACATTTGCATAATCTTCTCTTGCATGGGGCAAGGTGGAACAGAAGGAATATATGAGTACACGAGCTGAAGGATTCTGCTTCTCCTAGCTTCTCTTTGTAAAGTAGGATAGAGATGATGCAGATAAGAAAATTAATTAGAAACAGAAGTGCACAGAATAATCAAAATGTGCCAGACCTAGTCCCACTCCATATCAAGGCACTGGGAAATGTCATCATTTCAAAATTTTCTGGAAAGTGACATTCCCAACCATTGAAAGCAGTTCACTGAAAGATAACAGGCAATTTTCAGTCAATGGAATTGTCTTTGAACCCAGTATCTGGTGCAAATCTTCAAGCAGAAGCAGAGTGACATTTAATGCTATTTTTGGCAAACATTCTGCTTCTGATGCAGGTTTTTTTTTTGCACAGTAGGCTGTTATTAAGTCATATTCTGTTGCCAGATGTGACTGTGTAACACAGCAGAGGCACTTGAGCAGTTTCCACAGTTGGCAGAAGATGTGAATTCATTTGGGTTGGATTAATTTTTCCATCAGGATTATTACTATGTCACTGAAATGGTAACGATCAAATTAACTGCTAAAAAGAAAACCTTGGTGAAATATATCCAAATCCTCCTTAGTATTACAACATAGACTTAAAATCCTGTTTGAATATTATGAGGATTCCTCTGAGCAAATGTTTGCTGAAAATTGCAATCATCCTGGACCACATTGTGTGAATCTCTGAACAAATGTAAATAAATGACTTGCTTTTATTGGAGAGGCTGCTCTGTGTGAAGTATCCTTAAGTTCGGCCTGTGTATTGACTGTGGAGAAGTTATTCCATATGTGAGGCAACCCCCTGTCTAAGAAGAGTTGGATCAATGCCCAGCCAGCTTTGTTATGACCACCCACACAGTGCCCAGGAGGTAGGTTTCAACTTGCCGTCTCTCTCTTTCACACACTGTGTGAGAAAACAATTCAAGTCACACACCATCCTTGTTGGTACTCCCAGTTCAAAACTGTGTTGGAAACTCTACACTTGCTTCTAATGCAAAAACAAAAAACAATCCCTCCAAAAAGCAGAAATAAACAAACAACCCCCCATAAGACACACTGATTGAACAAGCTAAATGCATCTTTAACTCAAACTTGAGTAGATCCACTGAAATTAATGGGACTTATAAGTGATGCCTAGCTTACATGCATTTCACTGTGTCTGCTGTAGTTGAATCCAGTGCCCCTAACCCTAACCCCAGGTCTCATAGAGCTGGGGTCCCTCCCCTGATGTTTTGCCTTAAAAGTCCCATCAACCCCTCGGTGACAGTGGAACTTGCAGATTGAAACATCTTGAATAGCACAGGTTCCCTACAACAGAGCAGTGCTGCCCTGTTGCAATAGAGCAGCGATGCCGAAGCTATGGCATGCGTGCCACAGCCGGCATGTAGAGCCCTTTTTGTGAGAATGCGAGCCGTAAGTCGCTGGATTGCTACCCCGGCAGCCAAACCTGAGGAGGAGGCTGGAGTCGTCATGCTAGCACTCCGACAGGCAGTGGGCTGGGATCCGGAGCAGCTGGCGCTGGTGGCGATGGGCCGGCTGAGCTATAGGCAGTGGTGGGGTTGGGCATGATTGGAGATGGATCTGGAGTGAGCTGTGGAGGCATCTCTGTGCCCAAGATTCTCCCTTCTGCCACCGCTTCTGCCACTTCTGCTTCTGCTGCTACCCACTGTTTTTTTTTTCCCTCTTCCCAGTTTGGGCACTCGGGATCAGAAAGGATTGCCATCACTGCAATAGAGGGACCTCAGCCTTTGTTGTCTTTCCTCCCAGGAATGATCTTAGGAGAGTGAGTGGGGGCGCAGGGGGAACTGGTGAGGAAGACTTCCAGGAGCCTGATCTAGCCAGTTTCTAATCCCAGCCTCCTAGTGAACTTTGATTCCCAGTTGTTGTTGAGGAAAAGTCTTGCTTACTTGAATCTTAAACATTGCTTATATTTGATTAAAAACACCCAAAATATTTTATGTTACTTGTAAACTGCTTTGGAAATATTTTTTTAAAATCAGAATTGACTTGATGGCACAGAATTATTAGGTGAGATATAAGGCATTGTAATAAATTGGGAGAGATGGGTTTGTCGGTGCTAGTTGGGGAATGCCAGGCAAGGCACTGAAGTGTCGTCCCTTATACCTTTTCCATGCATTGTCATTGCACTTCCAAGCTAGCCTGTGCACATGTAGAGGACTTATAACAGAGCATTACATTGAGGCTGATGGATTTTGAGCCTTGGCCTTGGTAATGGCGAGTGTGGAAATATTGTATGGCTTTGCTTTTCTGATCATATTCTTCTTGCATGGATAATTCTCAGATAGCCTGCAAAAGCAGGTTTAAGCAAAACGGGCTTGAGACCATGTGTGTTCCTCTTTCATGCTCCCCCTCCTTAGGCAATAACTGCAGCCACAGCTTTTCACTTCCTGCTGAGCATCAACAGTTCTGAAGAAGTCAGCAATTCTATTTTATTAAACAAATAAAAAAAAGCAAAAGATGTGAGCAGTGAAAAAAAACCAAAGTTAGATTCATGTTGCACCAAATGTCCTCAATCTAGTTTACATGGAAGACTGATAGATTTTTTCCAAAGAAATACTGCTTTTATTAATGTCTACACCAGTGTATGTCAAGTAGCTTAACTGCAGCTGCTGTAGCACAGCGTGTTCAGTGGCAAAGCCCTTGTAGCAAAGTGAGAATAGCGTTATTTAGCTAATTCAGGTTCAGGTTCAGGTACCTTTATTGGCATACTGCATAGAATAAAACACAAACAAATAGAATAAAATACATCTAAAATGTTCAACGGCTAACAGGTGGGAAGAACCAGCCAGTTTAGCTAATTACACCACAGAGTAGTGGATCTCAACCTTTGGGCTCAACTCCTATCCCTACTTAGTGGGGAAGGATTCTGGAAGTCCTAGTCTTTGAGAAGTACTGCCATAAAGATGCATGTAAAAATAACAGCAAAAATGGGCAGTATGTGTGGTGTAGTGAATTGAGTGATGGGTTGCAACTCACAGGACCTTGGTGGTTGTATAAATGGCAGTATTGTACCCAGGTACAAGATTCCTGGTATGTGGTGGCGCTGCGGATTAAACCACAGAAGCCTCTGTGCTGCAGGGTCAGAAGACCAAGCAGTCATAAGATCAATTCCACCCAATGGAGTGAGCTCCTGTTGCTTGTCCCAGCTCCTGCCAACCTAGCAGTTTGAAAGCATGTAAAAATGCGAGTAGATAAATAGGTACTACCTCGGTGGGAAGGTCATGGCTTTCCGTGTCTAGTCGTGCTGGCCACGTGGCCACGGAAACTGTGTTCAGACAAACGCTGGCTCTATGGCTTGGAAATGGGGATGAGCACTGTGCCCTAGAGTTGGACACGACTAGACTAAATGTCAAGGGGACTCTTTACCTTTACCTATGGCATTAGGTACTGCTACATTCCGAGGAGGGTGTAATGCATGTAAAAGAATGTCATTTCTAAGGTCTCTGTAGCAGGAGTAATTGTGGTGTGTGTTTAAAGCTTAATATAGATAGCTCAACTTTAACTTTGTTGTGCCAACACTTTTCATGAAGATTGTTTGCCTTGTTTAAACTGCTGGATAGCTCAGTGGTTTAGATACCTGGCTGTGGAGCCAGAGGTTGTGAGTTCAATTCCCTACTGTGCCCCCTTGAAAGAGGCTGGACTTGATGATCCGTCGGGTCCCTTCTAGCTCTCTACTTCTAAGATTATTACGGTATTTGCTAGCATGAGATAAGCCAGTGTTCTGGTGAGCTGTACTAGTTCTTAGAAGAAAGAAAAAAAAGGTGTTTGATCTAGATTTATAACTGCAGTTCTGTTTATTTAGGCAGCTTAGTTCAACTTCCCCTCAGTTTGAGGATCTTTAGAAGCCTGGAAAATGCTTCCTTCTTTTAGTAGGAGAAAAGCTCTCTTTGTTTTAAACACACTAAGCAGAGGGTGGCGGGGACGCTGAGAAGTTTTGAACCAGGGATTCTGCCCACGTATCTAAAAATGTCCTTGCCAGTCCTGATGTTCAGCCAAAATGGCACATCTCTTTAGTTTTGTTTTGTTTTGTTTTTTGGTTAATCTTACTGGTACTGCATCTGCCCCTTTCAGAACAAAGGGCAAAATCGCAAACACTGAGTTGGAGGCATAGACTTATAAGAGTAAAGGGTGGCTGGGTTGAAACCAGGTTCACACGGAGCCATTCTAGTGTATAGGTTTTTTGATCTTGAAATTCCTCGGCTGCAGCTGGCTCTAGTTCTGGATTTGTGCCACCTGAATACAGTTGGATGGTGTGCACGTGTTGTTGTTTGTTGTCAAGTAATTTCCGATTTAGAGTCATACATGGTCCTGGCCATGTGCGTCTGTGTATAAGCAACGTACCCTCTTACTTTCAACCCCACTGGGCGCCTCCCTCTCTCTTGTGACTTCACCTGTGCATGTGTGCGCGCAACTCAGCCTCCCGCGCACAGGGTTCTGTTGAGACCAGAACCAAAGGGATTGAATGAGGAGGAAGAAAGAAAGCTGTACGGAGGGAGGTGGAGTTGCATGTGCGCGCACAGCATAGAGGGAACCTTTTGCATAAGGATTTTTCGGATTGTATACTGTATTTTTTGCTCCATAAGACGCACCTTTCCATAAGACACACCAATTTTTTAGGAGAAGAAAACAGGAAAATATAATCTGTTTTCTTCGCTCCGTAAGACACACAGACTTTCCACCCCCTTGTTTTGTGGGAAAAAAGTGTGTCTTATGGTGTGAAAAATATGGTATATTCATATTGTTGATTGAAATCCTACTGCTTAGAGTAGTTAGTTGCAATTAGAGTAGGCCCATTGAATAAGTGTGGATTTGATGAGTCAGCTTCTCCTTAACTACCTGCTCTTATTGCACAGAGCAAGAGGATTTTAGTCAGTGAATTGTTAGCAGTTTGATTCTCTGCTGTGTCTCCTGGGAGAAGAAACACCCCCATGTACTTTTTGGGGCAAGTTGCAAACAGTCCTAGAGTGCTACCAGTGGATGCGGCTTATCCATATTAGCTACAGTTGGGCCGATCAGAATTGGCATTCTGTAAAATTTGAAATTATTGAAGTTCTGGAGCACTCTTCATCAAGTTTGATAGTGCAAAAGACTGAGAACGGGAGAGAAATATATTCCCCCAATCAGAAGCCAGATGTTGCAGCTGCAAGCTCTGCAGTTTAGACCCAGGCCAAAACTGAAGAGCTTGCATCTGAAAAAAATTGGGTACTAGTAGGTGTTTTAGTCATGTTATTACTAATGGTAAAGTATTTGGGATAAGGAAATCATGGCTGATCCTCATTTCTGAACATATAAATACAGACTTCAGCTCAGATCTCTCTTCTGTCTTTGAAAGGCATCCGCTCCTGAATTAACATAATGCAGGAGTGGACAAAGTGCAACCTCCCAGATGTGATTGGACTGTGGTTCTCTTTAGCCAAGATAATGTAGCAATGTTGAGAAGTTCTGGGAGATGCCCTCTATCAGCATCTAAGAGTAACCATCTACAGTGGTGCCTCGCATAACGAGTGCACCGTTTAACGAAGAATCCGCATACCGATGCAGATTTCCCCATCGCTAATGCGAGGGCATCCTCACATTGCGATGGGGGAACAGCTGTTCGGTGGTTCCAAAATGGCCGCCGGAACACTAAAAATGGCCGCCGGAACACCCAAAATGGCCACCGGGACACCCAAAATGGCCACCGGGACACCCAAAATGGCCGCCGCAACATGGGGGAACATCGGAGACTGGTGAGTTTTGGACCCATTTGGAACGCATTAAACAAAGTTTTGAAGTTTCTCCGTCCCACTTAACGATGTTTCCCCATAGCGAAGGTTAATCCAGAACGGATTAACCTCGCTATGCGGGGCACCACTGTACGTAATTGTCAAATATAATGTTGCAGTTATATAGAAGTATTTAAAATAATTTTTTACTAAATACGAATACAAATCACAATTTTGTGTATATATCTTGTCTTGGATTATTATTATACAAGAGAGTGCCAGCCTTGACCAATGACATTTTTGCTTCCTTGTTGTATGTGAATAGAATGTGTCACTGTGCTCCTTAAACTATACAGTA